ATCCTGTCGTTGGAATATCCAACATCCCTCGACACACTCGCCGTCTTCGTCGTGGTTCGCATATACTCTTTGTTTCGTGTTTCGCAAGTGTCGTATAGAACATTGTTTTAGCCGGAGTTTATGTCGTGAGCGGATTTATTTCTAAATAAAGGAAAAAAATTAAAGTTAATGCCACTAAAACTGCTCCTTTCGGACGAGATACGTATAAGCTGTCAAACATATACGAATCCGACTGCGAAAGCGAAAAAAAAAAAAGAACATCTGTTTAATTTAATTCACACTTGCAAAACTCTTTGTACGCGGACGGGAATTAAAGTTTGTACGAGCTCCTCGAATCCGATTAAAGTAGCGATTAAAGCAAAACTCACGCAGGGTTTAGGTTAAACGGCCGAAAACTCATCGTTTTTCATTTTCTACCTGTAATACCTAGCAAGCCGCTATGCGTTCAAGAACGCTATGAGATTACGTGAAAGCGACGAAGAAGTTACGAACTATTTCTCGCGCTCGTGAATCGATCGTGCCGGCTATCTTACTCGTTTGGGCACAGATTTGCACTAACACTTCGCTCGTGACTCAAGCTTCGGGATTTCGCAACAAAGTTCCTACTTTTGTGTGCACGTCCACAATGATCGCGCGAACTTGGGTCGTGTCTTCGCGTTACGCGTCGCCCTCGACCTCCACCACTACCATCGCCTTTATCCACTGTTTCTCATCCTCGACGCCACGTCTCGCGTGCTTTTTACCTTCGAAAGAGAACTTCCAGAGCATCGACTGACGAGAAAGAAAAAGAAAATAAAAAACTGAAGAAGCGCAGCTAAGACGGTACGAATAATGCAGTAAGAATTAATCGAATCCCCCAGCGCTTTTTTACCACGGCGTCGCGTCGTCTGGCGTCGCGACGCGTTTGTAACGCATTTGCGACGCCTTGCTCGTGCGATCGGCTGAGAAGCCACTCCTCCATGCAACAAATCAAAAGGAAAACGTGGGAGAATAATTTCCAAAAGTCAAGCTTATTCTCCGCTCCTCTTTCACTCGGTGTACCTCAAGCAAGACACGCGGGCCTTTTCAAAGGGAATAATTCGACCGCGGTGTATCCGCACACGAAAGCTCTCGGCTGATTCCGTCTAACTTCGCTGGCTTTTCAAAGGCAATGTCTCGGCATTCATGCTGACCCTCGGCCACAGGAATGCGTGGTTCCGAATACCGCGTGCCGAATGAGTCTTAGCTGTGGTCACTCATTACGCAGCTTTAACGGAAACGATAGTGGAAAGGAGGGAGGGAGAGAGAGAGAGAAACTAGCCGAATCAAGGCGGCATCGGATGACCGGTAGCGACGCAGTTAACTCGTAGAGCTTTTAATCTCGAAAATCTTTAGGACCTTCGAGCGACCAAAGGAAAACTTTCGCAGTCCGTCCGGTACTCACGACCGGCCGAACGACCGCGCTTCCATTCGCTTTTCCCTTTTCTCTTTGCCTAGCTACTTCCGCAAACATCACTCGCAAATCTCTATATAGTGCAAAGAGAGCATTGCCACTCGAACTTCTCGTATTTACTAACGAATTAGGGATCTGTAATCTGCCGCGAAAAAATCGGTCGCAAATATAGAAAAAAGGCAAACTGGAAAAAAATTAAAATATCGTTGCATTAAAAACGGATTATATTCCGTCATTCACTGCGAGTACTGAAAATCTATAGTATACGTAATTTGAACTATAAATTTTCAGTATTCAAAGTAAATAACGGGACGCAGCCATATATACTTTATTTATTACATTAATAATTTTTATTATTAATAAATTATAATAAGAACAATAAATTGATCCTCTTTCTATTAATATAATAATAATTAATATAAATCTCTTTTATCACGATTTATTATTAAATTTTATTATATTTATATCTAATTAATTACATGTTACAACATTGATAATGTGACCCGATCAAAGTCGAAACGTTTGTTTTTGTAACGCTATTCAATTATAACTTTTATGTTACAATATTATATATCATTAATTTATTGTATTTCGTAGCTTTTCAACATAATTTTTTAAAATTTTTATTTATTACGTTAGGTTCAAAAGATGGTTTAAGCGATTGAATGGAGGTTAAAAATATCCGTTTATATTAGGTGAAATTTAGTATCTTCGGAGACATAGTTTAATACAACAGGACATAGTCATACGGAGTTTCATACAACTTCGTTATATGCGCACATGTACGACGGGTTACATGTCAAATATGCGTGCAAATTGGATCAGCAGATCGGTTTGAGAAGCCCGTCGAAATTAATATCCGTTCCGTTAGTTACCAGAGATCCGATACGAAGGGCTTAGAATGCATGATCGCTTCGTGGTGTAGACGCCTGCCCGCAAGTACAGATTAGATCAATGCGATGTGTTGTGCTTCAATATAATGTATGCTGTGTACATGTATCGAGTCTTAGTGCAGCATACTCACGACGTTATCAATCAACACGTTACTCGATGACGAATCTTGTAAATAAGTTTCAGTGCGTGCTTTAACTTTCAACGATCATCAATGTTTCAAATGACAAGAATTGTTTGAGAAATCTGAGTATTTTATCGCGAACATAGTTTTAAAGACGATCATATAACGACTATATGTCAATGATAAAGGTTCACAGTAATGCATCTGCGTGCTTCTTCCGCACATATTTCACCAGAATTTACGTCACGCTTTAAACATCATCATGCAAAGTAAGATTAGACACATTCGTTTCACAGAAACTCATAATTGCTAGTTTTCCTTCAGTATTCGTGGAACGCATGGCGATGAAATTAGCCGACGATAACTCCGAAACAAGTGTCGCCAAGCGCTACCAGTTGCGGGTACACCGCGTTTCACGAAGCCCCAAAACTTCGTGCCAAATATTCGCGCGAACGCCAAACCGGCATTCCGCATACACATGCGTACATCTCACCGGAAGAGCGATGCACCACAGGGACAATAACCGCGCCATTGTAATGAAAATTCCGCCATTGGCGCGACAGGAAAACAGACCGACAAAGTCCGGCCGCAAATCCTCCAAAAAGTTTCCCCAGAAAATGCTATGCTCGTAGAGAACTCTCCAGAACGCGTAGGTTACTTGCGTAAGTGTACGTGTGTGTACGTGTGTGTTCGCGTAAGTGTGTTTGCTGTACGTGATGCGCTCGTAAGCAGCGTGTCTCCCCAGCATGCGGTCTCAGCTTGCTTATACGTAACACACGCAAGAGCCAGCACGCACCGCACCGGCGATACTCTCCAATACTCGGCTTCCATAGTCAAACCAGCTAGCAAGGCACAGTCAGCGAACCAGCCAGCCAAGCAGGCAACCGTCCGACCGACCAACCAACCGACCGACCATTCCACATTCCATTCGACGGCTCTCTCTCTCTCTCTCTCTCTCTCTCTCCTTCCCTCCCCTCCCCCGACATCATAATGAAGTCAGCCCAGCGTTCTAAGCCCCGGTAATATCGCGTGGCAGGGCACTTCCCGAGATAATATTGGTGATGTATGCTAACGGGCATTTCGTTGCTCGGGGTACGTTTTTACGTTTTTACGTTCCATTCGTACCGTCCGTTCTCTTAAACGATTTAACACGAAGCGAGAAAAGAGATGAGATAAAGAGGGGGTCAGCATCCCTCAAGAAAACGTTGGGGAATTTAATCCCTCGTGTATATCGCGGAGGAAAGTGTTTTTCGCACATATGACAAATGAGCCGTAAACCATCAATGGTTTCGTCAATTTTTACCTGAAGAAAATCAATATTTTAATTAATTCAATCGAGATAACGAAGAATAATTAAAATTTACAATTTGCGAATCATTTGAGAAAATTAATGTCATTAGTAAAACTCGTGATTTTGAAAAAGATGAGTAAAGTTCCCTGCGATTAATTTCGCATGAAGTCTACCTGCATCAACTACGCTAATTGTATTTCATTAAACGTAGGTGCGAACGATTGAGTTTACTCGTTCGCACAATTTGTATTGCAAATGGCTAGTCGGCACGACGAAACGTTCGGAAGTCACAATATTTAATTTAGAGGATTGCAAATTAATCACGATCAATATTCTGATATAAAAGTTGCACATAGCAATCGCCCATCGGTTGTCGAGATTGAAAACGTGTTACAATCATTGTTATAAATAAAAAAAATAGATGGCAAAAAGCGCAAATGAAACGTTGTCAGATAAAATTTCAATGAATGTTTACATTATTAATTATTAGCTGTTTTACATTTGAAATACCGTAATAACATGTGAAATTATACTCTCTAAAAGTGAATCAATGAATTATTACTGACATCAGTGCTACACTTATAACTGTAATGATCAGTGAATATTTATTGTTTTTCAGTAATAATACACTGATTCATTTTTAGAAGTTATTCTAAAAATGTTTCTACAAATTAAATCTGCAAAAAATCATAATCTCTAAAAGTGAATCAGTATATTATTACTAAAAAATATTCGCTGATGATTACATCAGTTATAAGTGTAGCACTGTCAGTAATAATACACTGATTCACTTTTGGAGAATACTTTTATGCTCCACGTATCTCCTCTGGCATCAATATTGACCGTGACAAACATTGCGTAATTTATTCTGCGGATTATAACTATCACGGTGTATTATCCTCTAAAATGTATGTGGGCGTGAGACATTGTGTAAAACCCGCTTCTATCATCGGACGATAACATTCGATGAGACAACGAAAAGTCACGATACCACGTGGCACTCTATCGCTACGCTCTTCCGTTTCTGCTTCCGCCCGAGTCTGGCCTACCGTAACTAAAACGAGTTAGGCTTGGTACACGCAAATCTTGCTGCGGAAATATTGGTTCGTGCTCATTGACCATAGGTATCCATCAATAATCACACGACGATCCTACGAACGACGGAAATCGTTGAAAAAAAAAACAATCATCGGTCAATGACCAACGTTTTACGACATATCACTGATCATTCGTAATGGGATCATTATTTAGGTATATCTGACCTTTGTGATGCCTGAGGTGAGAACGACCGCAGCACGGTTGCTCGAAATATGCGTGTCCGGGATGGGCACCGGCGGGCCTGCTGGCCATGCTGGGACTCAAAAGTTGCCCCAGGACAGCTGCGAGAACAGCTGCCCTAACCATCGTTGTCATGGCGTCCGGTAGTAGCCTCTGTCTCTGCATGATCACAGGAAAAATAAAAACACTTTTCACTATCCTTCACGTTCTTCCTTTCTTTCTCTCGATCTGTCGAGATACAATCCTCACACGGTCTGTTCTACCTTCGCCAATTTCGGAGCATTTCGCGCACGATAGCCGTCACTCCGGCACGTCTGATCCGGGCCTTGACGAAGCTTACAAAGGACCGCGTGGGCCGCGATGCCCTGGCCTTGAGTAAAAGGAGGTAGAAACTTCAGCCGCAGCGTGGTTGTTGCCCTTTGCCGCTAGCAACGACAACGACGACCGTTCACCGGCGTGTAAAGCGTCTCTCTCTTCCTCTCTCTTTCTCTCTTTCTCGGTTCACTCGCCGTCCTTGTCCTGTTCTTGCGGCAGGTACACTCCAAGATAGAAACTCGACCGCGTGTTGCTCCGTTCAGTTCACTCTCTCTTTTTCTCTCTTCTTCTCTTTCAGCTGTTCTCCTTGTTCTTTCTTTCTCTTCCGCACTGCTTCAAAGGACAAAGGAATTCTCTCTGTCCTATGCTTTTTACTCTTTGTATACAATTCGCCCTTAAGTCGCAGGTATGTCTTTAGAACGATAAACGATTTTCGTTGATGACGCAAATGTACGTTTTTTACAAGATTTATTTTACTTTCCTGTAAACATCTAATATTATCTACGAGTTGGCCATTTAAATGGTTTTTATTTCATCAATAGTATGCATTCGTCATGCGTTTCTAATTGTTGTTAGTGTTATGTTTTCTTGACGAGGAGCACAACACTGTGGATATCCGAATCGGCTGTAAATTACCAACTGAGAAAATCTTGGTTAACTAAATATAAAGAACGAGACGCGTACGATGGTCACATCTGTTGCTTGGAGTCAACGGAGCTGCGAACTCGGAGTCTACGGAGATGACGTTCCCTATCGCGCGTACATCCTCGCGGTGTCGGAGAACAGTTGCAGACGCGACGCGTTGGCGATACACGTCCGTGCATCCGTCACAACATGATCGAGCAGTTAATTAAGCGCTGGATTGCCGAAGACAAAAGGACGCGCGTCGCGAAACTCGTCAATCGGACTGGGTTTACTGAGGGACGACTGTATAGACCTCCCTCATTGGAGGCCGCGGCACGACTGTTACCCTCTGACGCGCGTTGCCGCGTTCAGTTGTGTTCGGCGTCGTTCGGTCGTCGTCGGCTTCACTCGGCCAAAGCTGCTCCAAAGTCGTGCTGCACGACTCCTATGATCCATCCACGGCCGCCGACCGTTCTCTTCACAATCCGCATTATGTACTCGCTCTCGCCGTGAAGAGGCGAGGAAGCGTTAACCCTCGATATTTCTCGTAACCCTGGCATGCCACCCGCTCTTTTATGGCGACTATGAAAAATTTTTAGACAGAGCGACAGAGCAGAACCTGGCGGAAGAAAGATGCTCCAAGTCGGACTTTACGGCACTTTCGTAGCGGCACTGTCTGAATTATGAAGAAGCTCTGCCCTTTTTTTCTTACTTTTTTTTTTCCAGAACGTCAAACGAAACGCACCGTCTTACTTGCCGTACCTTTCGACAAAGCCGATAAGCTTCTTCGATTCACGGCAAATCTTCCGGCGGGTTTCTCTCGCGATTATCAAACTCTTTGCTCCGCTTATCAATGAATGCAGAATATATTAATAAAAAATATATTAGAATCGTAACATTCTATAAAAGAAAACGCGGTATAAAATTATCGTCCATATATCCGAAATGGCAAAATTAATTATTATTAATTTATGCTATTTCTGAGATAAATATTTTAAATATTTAAAATGAATAAAAAAACCTTGACTTTGATAAATTAAGACGTTTCTTCTTATTTTCTTAATTTTAGATTCTACAAGTGTTACAAATAAATTCACTTTGCAAAATAAAAATGTAATAAATATTTAAAGCAATAGAAATTTATGATAGAAAATTGAGAAAATGTAAAAAGATCATATGTTTCATGTGAAACTTAAAAATAACAGAATTAATAATTAAGCCTCGATATATAAATATATATATGTGCATGTCAGTAATGCATTTCGGTTTGATAGTTGACGCAAACGAACGCTAATTGAAGTAAAACGGTTAACATGATTATGCCGACTAAATCATTTGGTTAGCGAAAATTCCGTTAGCGGTCTACTGAGTGTATGCAAATGTAATTACAATGCGAAAGCGAAATCTTGTTATTCTAGGTGACTATTCATATTATTTGTACGAAGTGAACGAGATGAAGAACTTTAAACGTGATTTTACGAGTCAAATTATCGTTTTTCCTTTGGTATATCATCTATTTTCAATATCAGGTTCTATTTCTTTCGTTATGACAAACAAGTGTTAAATGTTTCCTGTCTCGAATTAAACGAAACCGAAAAAAATAATCATGCCGCATAATCAAAATTCACTTTGCAGCTGTACTATATTGCTCCACCATTCGTGTTACAAAATCAATTCACATAGACATGACGTAGAGAGTTTCTGAGGGGTCGAGATACACGTTCTACACCACCAACGTTCGCTACATCGTGCGTACCGATGCAAGCTCGAAGGATGCTACAAGAACGAAGTCAAGCAGGGTATATGAATAAGTCGATATGCTAATGCGAAAATCCTGCGAAGTTAGCTGAGCCCAGGCTGAGCTGCAAAGAAAGTTGCGCAGCATCCAGGCCACAATACAAAGTCTCTTGGTAATGCGGAAGGGGAGACAATTTTGTACCCCTCCATAGACGCAGCGGGTACCGGGTATTACGACTTTAGTGAGTACAGGCCACTTTCCTTTGTTGCTTATGGGACGAGGCTACAGTGAAGGTGCAGTCTACGGCGCGGCGGTAAGGGAAGTCGTAAGAATTTTAGAACAAAGAGGAAACCGGTTAGGGGGGGGGGGGGGT